CCAGGCCCAGAGTTCAGGCCCCACAACGGGACCCAAAAAAAAAGAGTACATTTCTTTTTAGCCAATGTCACCCCTTACTTCTCTCCCAGTTTTTCCCTTCCCATCTCTACCCACAAGTTGTATAGTTCATTTTCAATATCGTGTCTATTGACCACCACTGCTGCCTTTGTTCACCCTTCTGTCCCTCCATTTCTGTGGTGAATTTCTTAAAGGAAGGAAAAAGCGAAGCAACCCTGAACAACTACAACTTCTAGATGTATTCAAAACACCTAAAGTCATTCTCTTGGCCGGTGTGAAGACACACCTAGAGGCAAAGGTCACAGCTGTGAGTCTTTTTTGCCAGTCTTGAGGTTTGAACTCAGGACTTGGGCACTGTCCCTGAACTTCTTTTGCTTAAGGCTAGCACTCTACCACATGAGCTACAGCTCCACTTCCAGCTTTTCCTGTTTTTATGTGGTACTGAGGAGTCGAACCCAGGGCCTCATGCACACAAGGCAAGTGCTCTACCACTGAGCCACCTTCCCAGCCCACAGGGGCACATTCTTTAAGGCCTTTTTCCCTCTCATCCAGGCCTTGGATTTGCAGAGTGGCAAGCAGAATCAGCACCTGTCCTAGGCTCCATCCAGTTCTTGTGGCCTTCAGATGGGCCTCCCATGGGGCCATGGAACCTTCTAGAAAGGCTGCTCAAATCAGTGCTTGAGCAAGAGCAGCAGGGTTTGGGGAAGACATCCTTAGCTCAATTGCCACCACCTCTGACGGTGTCCCCTCTTCTCTGTCCCTTGCAGACAGTCGAGCCTGTGGACCAACTGCTTCGAAAAGTGGACCCAGCCAAAGACAGGGAGCTGTGGGTCAGAGAGCACAAAACGGGCAACATTCGCCCCGTGGACATGGAGATCTAGACCTGCCTGCGCAGCCCGGGGGATCCTGCCTGGGGAAGAGGCTGGGGGGGGCCCATGGAGAAACGGTGGTGGCTCCTGCTGGGTGGAGCTGCCCTCTTGTCTGTTCTCCAGGGTCCACTGAGGAGAAGGGAAAGAGCTGGTGATTCCAGAAAAGCAACCTGGCCCAATAGGGGTGTGGGGAAGGTGGCAATATATTCCCAGGCCTTGAAGATGAACCCACAGCCCTGCCCTTGTTTCCAAGACTAAGCCTCCCCAACTCCTGCCCTGTGCTTGTCATTCTGAGAACAAACTAAGGCTGGAACTCTGTGGCCCCCAACTCAGCTCCACAGGGGTGGCTGTCCCGTGCTGGTGCTCCTGGATGCCCAATACTCAACCCTCCAACTGGCCCCTTTGTCTCCAGGGCTTTGAAAAACCAGAGAAGTCTTGATCCAGCCAATGTCAGGGTCAGAATCATGGCTAGAAGGCACCATCTCACAGCTCACATCCAGATTTTTTTTTCAGCCCTCTCCTATTTTCCCATTGCATTCTGGGAGCCCACATCTGGCTTTTCTCAGTCACCTTTCATCCCCAGGGGTCTTGGGAAGGAGACTTGGCTCCTGTCTTCCCAGATCAAGCCTGCCTGGAAAGGGCGGGATAGGACTACCTCATTCGGCACATCAGCCCAAAGTCAGAGCATGGGTTGAATCCTGGTTCCTAGCAGATCAGGCATCAGACCCAAACCCCAATCCACCCATCAGCTCAGCCTGCTAGCCTGCTCAAGAAAGCCTCCTACCCCTGCCCTGGCCCACTACCCTGTCCAGGCTTCAGCCAGCTGGGTAGAGATATCCTGGCTTGCATCAGAGACCAGCAGGCACAGACGGGCCAGCGAGGATCTATGTGCAGCCATGTCCCCTGCACCCTGAGCTAGCCTGGCCACCGCCCTCCCAGAGATGTCATCAGGCTGGGACTGTCCCCTAAGGGATACAGGTCAGGACACATCATTGTGATTCCCCAGATGACAGGGTTTGGAATGGCTGTTCCTTGTATCAGACTGTCTTAGGACTGCTGCGGCAGGTCATACACCATCTTGGGAGTGTCCTGCCACCTGGCCTCCAGCTCCTCCAGCTCCTAGATCTGTGCTGGGCCCCCCCATGCCTCCTTTCCTCTGCTCATCTTCCCTGAAACGTCCTGAGTCCCATGTAACCAGACATGCTTCTAGCCCTGGGCCCAGCGCCCCCTTCCCCTTCCGTCTTTCCCTCAAAAGCAGTTTCTCTACCACATGAGTCTAAAAGTATTAGCCAGGCAGAGAGAGGCGACTCCAGGATGTCCCACAGAGAGCAAAGGGGTGGGGAGGCAGATGCTGGCTGCATCCTAAAGCCCAGGGATCCATCTTTCTTCATCTTTCCCATTGATGACTATGAATTTTGCCCATCCATCCCCCAAGGGGGCAGAATGTTACCAGCACCGGTGTGCGATCTTTCTCTGTCTGACATGTTAATAAGGAATGACTTAATGAATCTTGAATCTTTCTCCACCTTTTCTGTTGAATCAGAATTGCTCTCTCGGTGGTTCCTATTAGAAAGACACCTAACATACTAAAGCAAACTGAGCCTTGTCCCTGATTCTTATTGAGATACCCCCAACCACAGAGACCAGCACCAAGGAAGGCGTTCACTAAAACCAAGGGTGGGGAGCTGCTTGGAGGATCTAGGCTGAGCTCAGACTACCAATATACCGATATACCAGCTACCAATTTTAGGATATTATTTGTTGGTTTCTTTATTTTACAAAGGGTGCTCGTGGTCATTGTAGTATGGCTTTGTGAGCTAATTTATGGATGCTTGCCAAATACTCAAAGCCAATGTGGCTCTGTACTTAATAACACAGCTGTTTTGAGGGCAAAGTGGCAATTGTGATATTGTCTTCTCATTCCTGCTAGAGGGGTCCGGAGCCTTCTGAGCTGCCTTGCATCTTCTGCCTCAGCCTGAGCAGCCTGGGTCTAGACCAGCCCATTCTGAGAACAATCTCTCCTCCTCATCTTCTCCTTGGCTTCTTCACCTAGGCCTTTTTGTTTTACTTTCTTCATTCTCTGGTTCATTCATTGAGCATTCACTTAAGGTCAGGCAATGTGCTAAGAAGACAAGGTACGGCTGGATCATCTGCGAAGCCCACAAACTCTTGATCCATGGAGACTTTCCTTTTCCAAGGAAATCTTGGTAGTGACCTTCACACTCTCTGCAGAAAATTTAGGTGTTCAGGGGTTCTCTTGCGTTGATTCAACTTCATTCATTCATGGGGGGGGGAAGGGCTTAGGCTATGAGAGGATCTGGCTTGGGTTTCTTCAGGACGGGTGAGCATGCATTGTCCAGGTAGAAAAACAGATGAAGGCCTTCTCTGTGTGCCTGCCTGGGAGACCTGCTGCACTTAAGCTTTGTCTGTGGGAGCCTGGTTTTAAATCTCGAAGATGAAAGCATTCAAAGTGAGGTCATTGCCATGACAACTGCTAGGAAGAGCTACTTGTTACCTTTCATTTCCTCTAGTGCTTTTGAGTAAGACTGGCATGCACAGAACAGTGGACGGTGTGCATCACTGTGCTAAGTGTGCCACAGAGACCATTCTAGGTCACACCACCCTTCCTACTTCCACTTGACCACCTCCTGACCTAGGTCTAGAATAGGAGGCCCTGCACTATTCATTGGGACTGATTAAACTGCCAAAGCGAACAGACTGTACAAATTCATCCCCGGGGATTTGTTTCTATTTCTCTTGTGGACAAACCAGTCAATGACTAGATTTAGTAGATGGGGAACATAAAAAAAAAATCCTGGCTGAGCCAAAGTCCCCTCTTGGAGACACAAGCCATTAAAATTCAAAAGATATCAAAGACCCTGGTTTGTGGAGGTGATTTTACTCCCAGCGGTGAGTGAGCTTTGACAGGGAGAGTTTAGACAGGACTCTGGAGAGCTGTTCGTGCTGTGCAGACAGGGAAAAGCACTTTATAGTTGTTACATGGAGACAGATGAGCAGCCTGTTGGCTTGGCCATCTTATTCCCATAGTTCTACCCACCCCTGCAAAGTTCACTGCTACTTTCTTTCTCCAGGGTAACTAATATACAATTTGCCACAAGTATTCAGTCAGTGACTTTTGACAAACTTAAGTGGTCTTCTAACCACCACCAAAATCAATACAATCTTTCTGTCGGTCCCCCCAGATACCTTGATATCTAAATTGTGGTCGATTCCTTCCTCTTACAGCAACCCTGCCAAGGTTCTGACTCTATAATGTTGACTTTCCTAGAATGCCATATAAATAGTCACTCTGATATAACCTTTGAATCACTCATGATGTCGTGTGTGTGACAGTAATGTGTTCCCTTCTTTAGGGCTGAGTAGTATTCCATTGCATGGATGGACCATACTGCTTCCTTATTTTAAAAATGAGTCCTTTGAAGATTGCTAAGAGTTCCATCTGATTTGCACAACTGCATCCAACCTACAGTTCTCAGGCTTCTGTGCCCACCAGTGCTCCTTGAGGGGCGAACTTGCCTTTTGGGACTCATGCTCACTTTGGCCCATGAAGAAAGCACAGACTGGAGAGAAGTAACAGGCAGGGTTTCAGTTGTTCTCCATCACGGCAGCAAAATCAATGCCTTCCTGGGTTCTCCATTCAGTCCCCACTGACTTGGAACTCATGGGGCGCTGCGGAGGTAGCAGGCAAGAGGGGGGAGCGTGGTGAAATGGGGGGGGTCACAAACAGGCTGACCCATCCCTACATCTATTGTTTAACCTGCCCACTGAGGGCATTGGTTCTAGATGATCCCTAGGGGACCCAAAGAGACATTCTGTCTTCTCCCTTCATTTCTCCTTTGTATTCTATGCAGGGCAAATCCAGGTGGCATCTGCACAGCTGTGCAGTTACCCAAATATCCTCCTAACCAGACACTTCTTCATGTAGACCCAAAGGGAGCCAGAGTTTCCTGAGTTAAAAATAAGGTAGTTCCTCCTAGGGGCTCTACCCTCCCCCCCCACACACACACACAAATAAAAGTTGTTGTCTTTTAGGTCTATGTCCCAAGAGCCAAGGCAGGGATAAAAAGAGAGCCACCACGCACAGGTCTTGTGCCTGGCTTGTGTCTGTTCTCTACGAAGTGATAGCAAGAGATAGAACCAAACCCAGCAAAGGCCAAGCCAGACTGTGGTATGACCCCCTCCCCCACAGTACCCATCCCTCCAACCTGGGTGTCCATCCTCATCACCTGCTCCATGCAAGAGCAGCAGGGAACCCACTCCGTGTTGCACAGGGAACCTGGATTCGAACCCAAGTGGACATCAGGGGCCCAGAAATCAGAGTTCCTGGGATCATGGATCAGCAGCTAGGGCTGCTGCCTAAACTCTTACAGGGCTGAATTGAGCCCGGGAGCACTCTCCAAACTCCCCTCTCCTCCTCCCATCCGTTCTATTAAGGCTTGCCTGCAAGGAGAGACCAAAACCTGCTGCGGGAGAGGAAGCAAGAGGGGAGCTGGGACTGAACTGCTGCTCCTGGGCTGGGAAATGCGTTGGGTTGGAGAAAGGGGACTGATAATGGCACTCGCACTCTCTCTCTCTCTGAGTAAGGGTGGGACATTGGTCTTTTGTGTTTGAAGGCCAGTGTCTGGTGGGATGTGAAAGGTGGAACCCACACCCTGTCCATCTCCCCATTGCCCTGTCCCCTAGCCCCATCTCTATCCGGACCCTCTGTGTGCTCGCTTGTCCAGTGCAGCCTCTTCCCTCTCTGAAGTTTCTTCACCAGATGTTCTGGGGACCAGAGACAGACAAGGGACACTAGCCAGCCTGGGTGACAGAGGTCGGTTCCCAAATCTGCATCTCTCCCTTCCTGAGGCAGAAGATGGCCACACATCTCCCCCTTCGTAAGATACAACAAGCACACCCATAAACCCTCTGGAAGTGGAATTTTTTTTCTAACAAAATAAACCCGCTTGTTTGGTTTCTTTTCTGTAACTTTTGCTAAATACTTTATACAT